GGCCTGTTGTGCCCGCACAGAGTCTGGTGGGCGCCTGAGGAGCGGCATTGCCGTACTTAGGCCTGAGACCTAAAAAGCAAGAAATCCCAGTTACCGTGGTGGCTCAGATCCGTGATCTTTGACCTGTGGTGTTAAAGGTCCATTTCGAAGTCAGGGCCAAGATTTCCTCTTTGCCTCGTTGATCTCGTGTGTTTACCGTATGGACTTAACCGTGGAGTAGTTTTTAATCAGAACTACAGTTTGTGTCCCCACCTGCACCCCCAAGTTGGAAATCCGGTTTCCGGGCAGAGCACCTAGGCTCACAAGTGGATTCAGCCCGCTCCAGGAAGAGAGCTTAGTGAGTACAGTCGTCTCCGGGAGAAGGTTTAGAGCTCTAGTCTGAGTGTAATTACGCCTGAGTAGTCGCCTCACATGATGACGTGTTTGCAGTTTCTGAGTCTTTTTATTTTACTGTTGAGATTGTTCAACGATTTTGGTTATCTTTGAGCAGAGTTATCTTGGACACCAATGGGTTATGTTGTTCGGCAGACATTATCTACAGAACGGCCACCGGCCCCTAAAAACGTTACTTCCATGATAAACCTAAAGACGGTTGCTTCATCAGCAGACCCCAAAAGCGCTAGTATGTCACCCTCTGAAGTTTTCTCTGCGGACCCTTCCTGCAAAGAGAAACACGTCCACCCTACTAAAAAGGTATGTGTCCCACTTGGGTTATGTTGGTCTTCTCTGCCACTGACCGGGTAGTCTCGTCATCTCTTCTGAGCTCCTAGGGGAGTGTCCCATTCTATACTGTAGTCCCGATCTGACTTGGTCCCACTTGCGCCTTGAGAGAAAGTCGAACCCCAGTCCGGGAACACGAGTGGTGGAGAAGGTGGAACCCCAGTCCGGTAACATGAGCAGGAGCTATTAGAGGGAGGGGCCGTGTCCGTTTCAGACCTGTGGTCTCCGTGGCCGTGAGCCGTCGTGAAGTCTCTGAAGGAGAGACGCCGGCAGAAGCTTAACGCTCTGGCGTGTAAAGGCTTGCTCCTTCGCCCCCCCCCCCCCTTCGTCTGTTGATATTCCAGCTGCTCTCCCTGTTTACTCAACAGTAAAACAGTTGAGTTCCACACTGTGGGATCAGCTGCGTGTCAGTGATGCTTGGCTAACTGCAGCTTTCTTGTTGTAAGATAGCATTTCAGAATCCACATTTCTCTCTCCTTTCAAATAATTTGAAGCTGTCATCTTTATTGGTCCCTTCGTTTCATTTCTTAAAAAGCCCTTTTTATGGGTCTAGATTTTGTTCTCGAATCTCATTGTGTACTGGTACGTTATTTCAGGTTGTAACACGGCCGTATTTGTTTAGTGCAATGACGTCCCGTCTTTTGGAGGGCGGGGATACTCTCTCGTACCCCTAGTGTCACAGACTGTCCCTCGCAAACGGGAGCTGTGCGTTGACGGTCAGTTCGAGGGAGAGAAGGTGTGCTGGCGACAGGTACGGTGAGGTCACACCTGTGTGCCTGCCCTCACGGCTCTGTGAACCGTGTGCAGGACGCCAGCGGAGCGGCCGAGTCCCCTCTGCGCTCGGGGCGCCTGGGCGCAGGCCGCAGGATGGGGCGCGTGGGCCTCTGGCTGCTGCTTCCCGTCTGCTGCCGTCTCGCCATCCGAACCAGTTTTCCTGGCGCTCAGTTAAATTCTTAGAGTGGAGAGGTTTTGTTTTCCCAGAATCTCTTTTTTTTTTTTTTTAATTTTTTTGTTTAACGTTTATTTATTTTTGAGACAGAGAGAGACAGAGCATGAACGGGGGAGGGGCAGAGAGAGAGGGAGACACAGAATCGGAAACAGGCTCCAGGCTCTGAGCCATCAGCCCAGAGCCCGACGCAGGGCTCGAACTCACGGACCGCGAGATCGTGACCTGGCCGAAGTCGGACGCTTAGCCGACTGAGCCACCCAGGCGCCCCCAGAATCTCTTTTAAAATTCTATTTTGATTATAGGCGCAAGGAAAGTTTTAGAAGCGTTCTAAGCCAGAGACCAGAAAATTGGGATCGCCTGTGGTCTGATAACCCAGAGGGCGTGGTCTCGTGTGTAACGGAGATAACGGGGTCACAGTGGTTTTTCCCTCTGAAGCCTTCTGCTGTGAATTTTTATTATCAAGATAGTGTTACATCAGCACGTAATACCACAAAGACCTGCTTGTGAACAAGGTCGTCTTCTCCTCCCTCTGTTGTTCCCTCCCAGGGAAGCCTGTGTCAACAGCCTGGTATGTGAGCTACACCTCACGGTCCTCAGAGCATCAACAAATAGAGATTTTTTTTTGTTTTGCTCTTTGAGGTTTTTTTCTTTTAGACAAAAATGGGGTCATTCTGTACACATCATCCTTCACAGTTCCCTTGTTCACTAACAAGATTCCACGGACCGGTCCCGTGGGTCAGTAGGTAAACCTTCTTCTCAGTACCACTGGAGGCCAAGTCCCCGCTGGGGATGAAGCAGGACCCCAGATGCTCTGTTGGAGCCCCTGCTCTGTTAGCGCTTCCGTCCTGACAGTCCGGCGCTGTGCAGACAGGTACTGTTAGTGCCTCGGAGGGGAAGAAGGGGGAGAGGCTCCGAGGAGATGCCATTGCTCTTGAGCTGGAGTGACGGTGCAGTCCTAGCCTACATCCAAGTGTGGGCGCGAGTGCAAAGGCCCTGAGGCCAAGGTGCATTTGACCTTATTGAAGAAAGGCCAAGGGGCTGAGGGGGCGTGGGAACAGTGGCGTCACATCAGCCGGTGTGGGATGGGCCTAGGCAGTTGTCCCATCCGGAGGCTCCCCAGGGGGTTCCGATGTGTAGTTTAGGGACCACCGGCCCGTGGTGCTGGAAGGGGCACGCGAGTGTTTGAAAAGACTTCGAGTCGGTATTAGAGACATTCATCTCCTTTGGCTCAAAAGTAGGTTTGTCCACGTCTACCAGTTTAAAAATAACCGGATGTGACAACTATTTCAGCAGACTTCTTTTCCTCGATTACTCTGCTGAACGCTGGCTCTCTGGAAAATAGGGACGAGGAGCCAAGCCCGGAGCAGAGCTGCCCTGTGGTTGTACAACCTGATATCTCAAGTTTGCTGACTCATGGGAGTAAGCACTCTAGTGAACGTCTTAAAAACCCATGATTTTTGCTGTTTTTTTGTTCTAGTCCAAAGCGTCACAAGGTGGCGATCCTGAGCAAAATGAAGCCTCAAGAAAGCATAAGAAAAAGAAAGAAAAGTCTAAATCGAAATACGAAGTTTTGACCATTCAAGAGCCGCCAAGGATTGAAGTACATTTATATTTATGACTCGCCTCGTATGACGTAACAGTGGGTCTGTTGTGATAGAAACGTGGGCTCGTGCTGGCTTCCGAAGGGAAAGTCTCCATTATTTTCTTTAATAGTCTTTGCCCAGTGCTACAGAAAACGGTTGTCCCCCTTCTCCTTCACCGTGGTGGCCCGGCGTGGTCCCCAAGTTGGCACGGGCGCCCAGCGAGCGTGAGAGTGCGCGCGCAGTCTAGACACGGACTGCCGCCTGGGGTCTGGTAGCGTGTGTACCGTGGGGCTCACGTTCACCCTCAGTATCTCGTTCACCTGGTCTTCCCTTGCCTTGACCTGCTGGCTTTTGTGGGGTCTGCTTTTCTATCCAGCAGTGTTACTCTCATGTGCTTTACTCTGGAGAGAAAGTTAGAATGCCCTAACTCCATCGGGGGCCCTGGCCGAGGGAGTTACATTCAACTTCCAGTGTTGCTCTGTAAATTCTTTTCCTGTGGCGCCCCAAGAAAGCCCGTGTCCTGCACGGAGTCGTGCTGGCTTCTGACTCAGTTCCAGACTCAGTGGCCTGGCTCCTGGCGCTGGCAGAAGTGTGTCTCAGCATCCAGCGCAGGGCCAGACCTGACGCTTTCCTGCATACTTAGGGGCTCCCGGGGCTCCTGGAACATCCCCCCCGAGGACTTTGGGGTCGCACGTTTGAAGACCTACGACCCTGTAGAGCATTGGTTTGTGCCAGCGAGGAGCTCGTGTGTTTGTGCCCTCGCTTCCCACATAACTTCTGCGACTCAGCTGAGATGTTAACAGAAGCACGCAAGATGCTTCTAAGTGGTGGGAACGTCATCGTTAGAGGCCCCCTGCCCTATTTTCTAGCTTGGGGTCAGCACACGAGACAGGGAGGTTCTGTCTCCTGAGTCTAGACTGACCAACACGCTTGCAGCCTGTGCCCAGGGGGTCAGGGGCCCCCATGTCCTCAGGACCCTGCTCGCTGCCCTCTGGGGCGGGGCGTTGGGGGGGGGGGATTACAACATTGCTCCGTAAATCTAAGAGTCAGACAGTGTGGGGCTGGTGTGGGTGCCCTTGAGGACTTGTGTGGGGCTCGTTACAGACAGAAGGACGTGAGCAAGGAAGGGCTTGCACCTAGGCACACTTGCTCCTCGTGGTCCGCGGATGGCTAAAGGGTGTGTGGTTTGCTCAGGACGCCGAGGACTTTCCCAGCCTGGCTGCCGCGTCTGAGCGCAGGGACCGAGGGGCATCTCCGCGACTTCAATCCAGACAGCAGCCACAGGTAATGTTCCGGTCGAACCCGTCACCGCTCCAGGCTGAACTTTTCTTGCTCAGCTAAACCTTATTTTCCAGATTTCTTTATGTACCAAGACAGGTGGTTTGTTGTGATTCATTCCTTCATTGGAGAATCACATCCAGCATGTTGACATAAACGTGCTCTAAGCTCAAATGTTTTGTCATCTTTGTACTGAGACTTGGTCACTGACTGCCACTGCTGTGTCAGAAAGGAGGGTCACAGGCTGCTGGTACGGGGGGACAAGAATTCCTTTGTGAGGCAGCAGTGTCTAACGGAACCAAAATAAGAGAGCCTCTAAGATTCATACAAAGTGAAGAGCTGGGTCCCCTTGAACCACTCCCCCCGCCGGTGGATTCAGGGCTGAACTTGGGATTCGCCACCTAGATGGAGAGGTTGCACGTGGCCGGTGTCTTCTCTCGTCTCCAGCATCTTCGTTGTCCTTTCGCCTTTTGAGGTGGAATAATTTCACATTTGCTAGAAGTAAAATTATCAGCCCGTGTGAAAATTAACAGGATTCCCGTGTCATAACTGGGTCACCTTCCATCCCTGCCTGCGGAGGTCTCTGTAGCAGGTCTATGGGGCCCTTTGTGTTCGCCCCTGACGTGGGCCCTCGTCCAGGCAGGAGGGCAGCAGTGGGGGTGCTGGAGTGCATGCATGCAGCAGTCTTCCAGACAGAGCTTACATTTGCTGAGTATATCCCACTCTGTGCCTAAAGTTAATACTTACCTGCTGTGTGTATTTTGAATCCTCTCCCCATGACTTCACGGCATTCAGTTGACTCACCTGGGCAGTTGCAGACTGGATGGGTGAGTCAGTGACACCAGTCACTTAGCCTCACACAAACTTTTGTTGCCAGACTTCCTACAGGTCTTGGTTTTTTATCCATAAGTATGCACTCTTATTCGCAGTGTAGCCGTAGACTAAAATGTTGCTGGTTTCATTATAAACCCAGGGCTCTGAGAGAAGGAGGAAATAAACAACCGTGGCAGTAATAGTGAAAGATAACATGGGGGGCCCCTGGGTGGCTCAGTCGGTTAAGCATCCGACTTCGACTCAGGTCATGATCTCACGGTTTGTTAGTTCGAGCCCCGTGTCGGGCTCTGTGCTGACAGCTCAGAGCCTGGAACCTGCTTGGGATCTTCTGCCTCCCTCTCTCTCTGCTCCCCTCAGCTCATACTCTGTCTCTTTCTCAAAAAATAAACATTAAAAAAAAAAAATAATAATGTGGCATCGTCTGGGATTTCTTTAATTTTTAGAAGATTTTTATGGTCTCCATGAATCTGTTTCATTTTATCTTGTAGAGGATTGTCACAAAGTAAAGGGTTGTGAGAAGTAGTATTCTAAATAAACTTCTTATTTTTTAATTCCTTAGAATAATTTTAAAAACAGTGGAAAGAAGAGCCAGGTTCCAGTACAGCTGGATTTGGGGGGGATGCTGGCAGCCTTGGAAAAGAAGCAGCACGCCCAGAGCGCAAGAGCGTCCTCCAAGCCGGTGGTGTTCTCGGGTAAGGGTTTTTTCATCCCGACTGCTCTGTGACTGTTGTATCTTGTAATCAGAGGTATTTCTGTAGAATCCAGAGTGCATGGTAGTGGGATAAGGAGAAAGATAACCAGCAGGATGGATCGGGAGTCCAGAGATAAACCCACATATCTATGGGTGGTGAATCTTTGGCCAAATATGTTCATTAAAAGAACAGGGAACACTTTTAAAGATGGTGCTGGGACAGCTGGATTTCTAACACCACAGAAAACTGGGCTTCTGCCTCACGCCATATACATCATTTTCCTCAAAATGGGGCAGTGACCTAAGTGTGCGAACTAAACCCGTAAAAATGCTGGAAGAAAACAAAAGTCAGTTTCATGACTCGTAATTAGACAGCGAACAGGACCACGTAAATAAAAACCAACCAAGGACTTCTGTGTACCAGAGGATATTTTCAAGAAAGTGAAAAGATAATTTACTTGCAGAATGTGAGACCATGTTTGCAAGTCACATATCTGATGAGGGTTTGATGTCCAAAGATCTACGAACTCTTCCTACAACTCAACAATAAACACCTGCTGAAAAACAGGCAGAGGCGTTGACTCGGCTCCGCAAGAAGATCCACACGGGACCAGTAACCCGTGAAAAGATGCTCCAAGGATCAGTCATCGCACAAATGCAAGCGAGCGCCTCAGCGAGCTGGCTCCTCACACCTGCTGTGGTCGCCGCAGTCAGACACGGGAAATAGCAGGCGTTGGCGGGGATGTCGAGAGATGGGGGGCTCCCGGGGACGTGAGATGCCAAGACTGACTTGGGAAGCCGACTGGCAGCTCCTCAGAACGCTAAGTGGAGGGTTGTCACGTGCCCGGCAATTCCATTCCTCTGTGCCCCCCGGAAGAGTTGAAAACAGGAACTCGGACGCGTGCAAGCTGGTGTTCGTAGCGGCTTTATCACCACAGTTAAAGGCGGAAGCCCCCACGCCCTGGGTGTGTACCCGCGCAGACGGCTACTGAGCGGGGTCCAGGCGTCCGGTGGCCACTCCTCAGCCTTGGCAAGGAAGGCGGCCCTGCCACCCGCGCCCACGTGGGTGGACGTGACAACGGTGTGCTGACGAAACGAGCCAGCCTCCGAAGGGCACGTGGTACGGGAAGTATCCGGAGTAGACAAAGACGCAGAGAGTGGATTAGAGGGTCGTGGGGGTTGAGGGTACGTGGACTTCCTGTTGAGCGGGGACAGACTTTCCGTGGGGGCACGAACATCCTTGGGGAATGGGGAGCGATGATGGTCACGCAGCACTGCGCATGATTGATGCCCCGGGTTGTGCGTTTCGGAATGGTTAAGAGACTGGATTTTTACAAGTTACTTAAACGTGATGACTTTAGAAGTGACGGTTAAATATTGCAACACTCGGATGCTCAGGGGCCTGAAATGTCTACTCTCTGGCCCTTTAAGAAAGGGACCCCAGCGGACCCTGGCCTGTCCGCCCATCATTTTTTTTGCGTTGTTTTTGTTTTGTTTTTTTTGCTGTATTTCCAAGTTGCACATTGCCGATGTTGCCCCTGCCTGTGGGGGCGTGCACATCATCACCTAGAGCTCAGCCTCCGTTTATGGGTCGTTTCTCTTTGGAGGCGAAGGGTGCATATAGTGAGGTGCGCACATCCTGGGTAGGCCCTCTGCAGGGTTTTGGCACACGCAGACTTGTGGGACCCAGACTCCCGTCAGCATCCTCGGGAGCTCCCTCCGGCCCCTCCCAGCCCGTCCCTGCCGCTGCCCCAGGCAGCCCCGTGTGGATTCTAGGTCTGCCACAGAATCGTTTTTCCTGTCCGAGAGCTTCGCGTGAAGGGACTTGGTGGTACACGCTCCTTTGTGTAAGGCTTCTTTCGTGCGTCAGGGTGTTTGTTTTTGAGATTTACTCACGTTGTGTATGTGTGTCTGTCGTTCCTATTTGTTTTTCATTCAGGTGATATTTAGGTACCACAAAAGTACGCATTTTAAAGGACACAGTTCGGTGGCGTGGAGTTCATCCACAGCGTTGTGTGGTCCTCGTCTCTCTGGTTCCACGTTTCCATCGTGCCAGAGGGAGACCCCACCCAGTCAGCCCTGCATTTCCCCAGCCCCTGGCAGCCACCAGCTCGCATTTTCTCTGTGCATTTGCCTGTTCCGACGTGTGACCTTTCGTGTCGGTCGGCTTTCACGGAGCAACACACGTTTGGGGTTCGTCCGTGTTCCTGTCGGCATTCGCTGGCTTTCGTGGCTGGCTTGTAGTCCAGTGGCCACAGGTGTAGCCACTTACCCGTCGACGGACGTGCCGGTGGTTTCCCCTTTTGGCTGTGTGAATGATACTCTTGTGAATGTTCACGAACCAGGACTTGAGTATCTGGTTCTGATTCTCTTGGGAGTGGAATGGCTGGGCCACGTGGCAGGGATATACTTCGTCGGTGAACGTACCAGACCGTTTTCCGTACTGCTTGTGTGTGTTTTACACTCACCGGTGACGTGTGAAAGTTCTGGTTCTCACCGACGTTTGGTCACGTCAGTCTTCATTCCAGCCATTCTTGGGGCGGTGGGGGGTGCAGGTGGCATATTTTTGAAGCTGAAAATTGGAAATGCTGTCTCTCCCGTGGATCGTTTTTGTACGGGCCGCTGAGTGGTACGTACTGAGCATTTCTGAATCGCATTCTTGTGGCTACGGCAGGAGGACGGTTGTGTGCTACTTTCATGGTGATGTTTACTAAACGCCCAGCGTACAGCCCTGAAATATCTGAATGCAGTTAATTCAGCCGAAGTACAGGGGTCGAGGCACCGGTAGGCAGCATGTCCCCCATCCAGTGTCCCTCCCTCGTGCCGCGTCCCTAGGACCGCCTGCCGTGGCACCACCAGTGGGGAGTGCGCAGGAGGCACGGACTCCGGGCACGGCTCAGGCTGAGCGTCAGGGGCACCAGAATCACTGTTGGGGCGGTGGGGGGGGGGGTGTTTTTAAGGAGCACTCGGTAGGATTTTTTGTTTGGTTCTTGTTTTTCACTTTTTATCGTGGAGGGTAACGGAAGGGAGAGAAGGCGGTGCACCCTCCCGCCACGTGCCCCTTACCCAGCTCCGGCACTTGTCAGCGCTGTGTCGGTCTTGTTGCATCTCTGACCCTACCTTTTATTTTCCTGAGGTGTTTTAAAGCAACCGGTAGGCTTTATGTCATTGCACGCCGGAGGACCTCGGTGGAGGCCCTGGCTGATGGTGGCTGTGTGTTTAACCGCACCACTCTGCCGTCCTCCAGCGGTGTGAGGGCTTGTTTCTTATTAGCATCGAACGTCCAGCCTCAATTTCAATTTCCTGGACTGTCTCAGTGATGCTGGTAGTTGCATTCTTACCAGGATCCACGCTTGGATCCGTCACCAGTCTGGGCACATACACACCAACGCCCGGGAACGCTGCCCCTCGGATAGCCCTCCCTGAGCCTTACTTGTCTCAACTCGTCTGTTTGGGAAAGGTCTGCAGGGCTCTGACTGTGTGTCTCAGACCAACCCAGGTGCTTTGGTAGAAGTTGGTAATTTGCTTTAACCTTTACATGTGGGCAAAGTCCGCTTTTCCTCGGCAGTTAGCTTTGGGCTTGTTCTGTATTTTTTAATGGGATGGTGAGTCAGGTGTGGCCACAGGAGGAGACAGAGGAGAGGCTCAGGAGAACACAGTTTTATTGTACTCCCAGGTTCTTAGAGACAGGAGGTGTGGCCTTGGCTGGCAACAGGGTAGACGGCAGGCACAGGGCAGGAGCAAAGGAAGGGCTTTTAGAGGCCTGATGATTAGTGATGTTGAGCATCTTTTCAGGCACCTGTTGGCCATCTGAATGTCGTCTTTGGAGAAGTATCTGTTCATGTCTTTTGTCTTTTTTTTTTATTGAAAATTTTTTTAATGTTTTTATTTATTTTAGAGACAGAGCATGAGCAGGGGAGGGGTAGACAGAGAGAGGAAGGCACAGAATCCAAAGCAGGCTCCAGGCTTTGAGCTATTAGCCCAGAGCCCGACGTGGTGCTCAAACCCACAGACTGAGATCATGACCTGAG